GGGGGTGATATTAATTCCTACTAAATGAAGTGCGATGGTCAAGATTGTCAGGGAGACTTTTAAAAATTGTACATTTCCAAAAATATGCCCTGTCTTTCCCCCTTGATTTCTAACATAACTGACCAAGCTTGCTCTGAGAGCACTGCTGTTGTCGGTTCGAGCTGTCCCGCATGGTCTCTGCAGTGTAAAAGGGGCCGTGCAGAAACAATTTAACAGTTAGTCGCGAGAGTTGACGCACGGTCCGTTACCGTGTCAGTATGAACCAACACGAGTGTGTTTCACACCGAGGAACACTGATGACAACCCCTACAATGGCAGCAAATGTGAGGGCCAGCCCTTCTTTGACAAAGATTGTGCTCGAGATAGCTGCGTCAGTGTGTGGACTAGATAGTATTGTTTGTATACTTGTATGTGGCGTGTGTGTGTGTGTAATGTGTGTGCGTGTTGGTGGTTGACGGGTGCTCTGGTGTGGTTTGCTACTTCTTTTCTATCAAACATCTGTCGTCCTTATCTCCCCTTCTTCTATTTTATGTTTGTTACTCTCTTGTAACGCCTCTAATCTCCTGGCGCTCATATGACCTTACGCAGTTGCAAGTTGCAAGCGCCGTAAAACTTCTACTAAACCTAAAACTTACCTGTGCGTGCGTGCAAGAGTAGGCAGTTATGAATACCTTTTTTGGGCCAAGATTGGGGCAAATGTGAAACCAAGCCCAAAGATCAAGCAAAAAATTTAATGGCAACATCAAAGCTAAAAAGGTGACGTCTTATCTATCTGGAAAGAGCAATGCTAAGGTACAAAAATAAAAGTTCGGAGAAGTAGCATATTCATCTCAACAAAATACTTGTGTGAAATATGGACCATCAATGAACAAGATATACGAAGGTTTACAGCCTTGGGGTGTTCGCTGTTATGGCAATGATCGGTCTCTTTCTTTTATACCCCGCCTCCCCTTTCAAGAAACAAAACAAAACCACCGCCACCAACAACAATAACAAACCCCAACAAAATCCACCATCACTACTTTGGGGGTTTTTTTGGTGTTTTTTTT